TTCACGTGGCTACAGATACCCAGCTCCTCCAGTGCTCCCTGAACCAGTTTTCCACCCTGCTGCTCCTCTTACTGATAAACTGAGTAAGTTATTAATGTTTTATGAGAATTGAAAAAAACTTTTGGAAAATAATACTTTTACAACCTGAGCACAAAGTTCACTCTGTCCCCTCCCTAATAAGGTGACATTCAACAGAGATCTAGTAAGTTTCATCAGCAATAACTAAGTATTTGAGGAGATGTTACGACACAGGGAATTGTTGCAGAATACATGGGCTCTTAGCCTGGTTTCCCTCCTTCCCTTTGCCTTCCTTCTCTCATTCTCATTTTTTCCCCCAGAATAGTGACCTTCTCTCTCCACTTCCAGATATAAATTCTGTCTTTTCTACAAAGTAGCTCAGTTGAACGAGGGCCTATAAACTAATGTGATCTTTCCTTTCTATAGAGCTGCGAACTCTTAATTTTTTTTCTCCTGCTATATAAGGAAATTGCTTTTTGAAATAAATTATTCATTAGTTTGTATATTTTTCATTCTACTCCTTCATAATTGAGGTGTTTCAATGAGCAGGTATTTGGGAGAAGAACAGGTTTGTTTTGTTGTTTTTTTTTTTTTTCTCTGTAAATTTAATTGTTCTAGCAGTGGTTGAAACAGCTTTTCTTTGTTATTTTTTTCTCTTCTAAAATTTTCTTCAGTATTTTTTGTTTGTTTCTATATCAGTTATACAATGACCTACTTAGCCTCTTTCCTTTTCAATAATCTTACCTATATGATCTGCAGTCAATACGTTATTTAGTGAGAAGGAGTGGTTACCACTTCTGGAATTCTGCTCACGGTGCACATGTGTGAATTCATAAGCATTCAAACTCTACACAGTGAGGTATTTAAACACTGGGTGTGTTTTTTCCCCAAACTTCCAATGACAGTTCTTTAAAAAATAAGTATTATTCCAGGAACAAGCAATTTCTAAAATGATATTTTTATGCCATATGTTGCTTGAAAGTCCTAGCTGTGCCTGCTTGTGTGAATAGCCACTGTCTAATGAGAACTTTAATATGGTAATACTCTATATTAAAGAGAAGATCTTAATAAGAATAAGCTCTTACTCCATATATTTATTTGGTTCAGCAGTATTTTCAGGTCCCTACTCTGTGTGAAGCATAGTGTTAAAGAATGGAGTCAAAGCTGAAGTGGGAGGCAAAGTTGGTAGCCAGAAGATATTCATTGAAAGTTTCTGGATGTTGATTTGGTTCATGAGAGCACTCTATTTTGATCATTATAGGATTACTTTGTTATCTTCAGTTAAGCTTGTGTTTATCAGATATTCTTTTCAATGTTTTTGATGGTAGAAAGGATTAAAAAAAAAAAGACATGGGACCCAGATGTCAACTGTAGTCACCTTGTCTATGAGATTATATAAAATATAGACTTTCCAATATTCTGTGAGAAGCTCAGCACTTTGTCATGATTTCAGCAAATTCCTATAAGTTTATATTACCAAACTCACTTTTGACTATCTTCCTGGCCTCTCTGAATGTTCGATTTCATGAATATTAAATCTTCTACACCTTTTTCTGCCAATGACAAATATGGAACCTGGCCCCTTTTCATGGATTTTTCCTCAAATAACTCTCACGGGGAACTTGTATTGATAGCAGAATGTATTAAATGTTTTAGAATGTCAGAAGGGGTTTATAGCTCAGAGGCACAAACAGCATAAAACTAAGTACTAATATCCTATTTTTTAAAATCCTTTAGATATCCTGGTTAATCAGCTTCTTAGGTAGGCCCCAGACACCTGCCAGTTTGCCCAGCTTCCTTATCTCTCTCCCTTTCTCTTCCCTTTTCCCTTCTTCTTGCTCTACAGGCTTCTCAAATATGCCCTATTTTTTCCAGCTGAGAGAATCTTTTCACTTTCTCCAGCCAATCCTTAATATCAGGGTCTTATTTTTTACATGTTAGTAGGCATTCAAAGTGTTTCCTTATATAAAGACATTTTTTTTTCCCCGAAGTAACACCTTGGTGACAAACATTAAAATAATAGTCTTTCTCCTTGCTTTACATAAATCTTGATAAATTGTAACCTGGTTCTCATCTTTTCCTTCTTCTTGAACCCCTATTTCCTTTTCTGTGGTATTTCCAATGTTCCAAGTTCCTCTGGCGCTTAGAATTCCAATTGTAAGCCAATAGAGCATGGTGGAAACCATGAACGAGAACAAGCAAAGCCTATGAATATTTTTAATACTTCCCTAGGAAAACATACAATGCTCCCTATGATTTTTGGTATAGGTCACCATGTAGATCATTGGCAAGCAAAATGACAATTCCATACAAAAGTTTAGTCTAAGAAGGATGATTATTTAAATGTTTAAGTTATTGTAGCTCTGAACAAAAGATTCCAAAATTGTGAATCAGAGCATAGCAACACAAACTACTTCACCTCACCTTTCCCCTTCCAAAAAGGACTACCTTAACCTCTTGCCACCCTATATGAAACCCTGCTTCCTTTCTTGTAAGAATAAGAACATGATGAGATTAATGGATTTTCACCAGGTAGGATTTAGTTTTCCTTTAAAAGTTACTATAAAAAGTTAATTTGTAGGAAACTAAAGTTTTAACACATGCAAGAATGCTTAAACAGCTATTACTTTATTAAAGAGTAATACAAAGATCAATTAAAATCAATTTAGAAGTTAATTTAACTGTTATTTCCCTATTCAACAAATTTGCATGAAAATTTGAAAAAACAGGTAGTGATAAGCCTTAGAATTAAAAAAAATATTTACATTCAATTAATTAAGCCTTAGAATTTAATTTAGGGTGAGTCTGCTGGTGATATATTCCCTCAGTTTTGTTTGTCTGAAAATGTGTTATTTATTTATTTATTTATTTATTTATTTATCTTTTGTTTAATAGCTTTATTGAGATATAACTGACATACAATAAACAGGAAATATTTGAAGTGTACACATTAAGAAGTTTTGTCATATGCATACAGATGTGAAACTATCACAATAAAAAATAGTGGACACATTCATAGCCCCTACTTTCTTCCTGCCCCTTAGTAATCCCTCTATCTTTCTGCACTGCCCCAACCACCAATCATCTTTTTGTTACTAGAGATTAATTTGCATGAAAATGTTTTTTTCATTTTTGAAGGTCATTTTTGCTGTGTATAGAACTCTAGATTTTGAGTTATTTCTTTTCAGAAATTTGAAAGTACTCTCCATGGCCTCCAGGTTTCCATCAAGAGGTCATCCCTCAGTCTATTTATGGCTCTGTAATCTTTTTCCTTTTTCTTTTCAGCTTTATTGAAGTGTAATTGACAAAAATCATATATATTTAAGGTATATCATCTGATGTTTTGAGATATATATATATATATATATATATATATATATATATATATAAAGATTTAAAAAAAAGACTTATTTGAGATAGAGAGGACACAAGAACACTCCCTGCTGAACAGGGGAGCCTGATGCTGGGCTGATCCTAGAACCCTGAGATCATGACCTGAGCTGAAGGCAGATGCTTAACTGGCTTCACCACCCAGGTACCCCAATATACGTTTTTAAATAATCACCACAGTCAAATTCATCATCTTATGTTGTTGACATTTTTTTTGTGTATCCTAAGAATCTTAAGATTTATTTACTCTCACCAAATTTTAAGTATACGACATAGTGTTGTTTAATATAGTCACCATACTGTACATCAAGATCTCTAGAACTTATTTATCTTGCATAACTGAAACTTTGTACCCTTTGATCAATATCTAACCCTGGAAGACATCATTTTTCTCTATGCTTCCATGAATTTGATTTTTTTAGGTTCTTTATACAAGTGAGATCATGCAGTGTTTATCTTTCTCTGTGTGGCTTATTTCCGTTAGTGTAGTACCCTCAAGGTCCATCCACATTTTTGCAAATGAAAGCATTTCTTTCTTTTTTTAAGGCAGAATAATACTCCATGGTGTGTGTGTGTATATATATATATTCCTTATCCATTCATCTGCCAACAGACATTTAGGTTGTTTCCATATCTTGGCTATTATTACTAATGTTACAAGGAATATGAGATTGTATAGTACTGATTTACTTATTTATTTATTTGGATAACCCAGAAGTGGGATTGTTGGATCACAGGGAGTTCTGTTTTTAATTTTTTTGAGGAACCTCCATACTGTTTTCCATAATGACTGTACCAGTTTATGTTCCCAAAAATAATGTACAAGGTTTCCCTTTCTCCATATCCTTACCAACGTTTATTATCATTTGTCTTTATGACGATAGCCATTTTAACAGATGTGAAGTGATATCTCATAGTTTCAATTTGCATTTCTATGATAATTAATGATGTTGAGTACCTTATCATTTTCACCTGTTGGCCTTTTATATGTTTTCTTTTGAGAAATGTCTTGAGATCTTTTGCCCATTTTAGAATTGGATTATGTATTTGCTATTGAATTGGTTGAGTTCCTTATATAGTTTGAATATTAATCCCTTATTAGATGTGTGGTTTGCAAATATTTTCTTTCATTTAATAGCTTGCCTTTTCACTGTTAATTATTGCCTTTGCATGAAGAAACTTTTTAGTTAGATGCAATCCTATTTATCTATTTTTGGTTTTGTGGCTTGTACTTTTGGGGTCATATCTTAAAAAAACATTGCCCAGCCCAATCTCAAGGAGCTTTTTCCTTATGTTATTTTTTAGTAGCTTTACTGTTTCAGGTCTTACATTTAATCTGGACATTACTTTGGGTAGTGTGGACATCTTAATATTAATTCTTCCAATTCAAACACATGGGCTGTCTTTCCATTTATTTGAGTCTTCTTTTGTTTCCTCCATCAATGCTTTACAATTTTCAGTGTATAAGTTTTTCTTTTTATAATATATTTATATTTTTAAAATATCCTAGTGAACAAGGAAAATACTCCTGTGACTATGAGCCAGTTCAAGAAATATAACTTGGTCAGCCAACTCAGAGACAAGGCTGATGTGTGCTCACTTCAGCAGCACATGTATTAAGATTGGAACGACATAGAGAAGACTAGCATGGCCCCTGCACGAGGATGACACACAATTCGTGAAGCATTCCATAAAAAAAAGAAAAAGGAAAAAACAAAAAAGAAACAAGCTGACATATTCATTAAGTTCAGTAGGCAAAGCACCTGGACCCACAATTGTTGTAGGGTTCAAGAAAATACTTTAATTTCTTTTAAGATATTTTGATTTATTTTAGGGGCTCATGAAGATGCTTTATTTTTTTTAAGAAAAAAAGGGAAATGTCTTAGCACACAACATTAATATATGAATGTATTTACCTTTATAACAACATAGTCATAAGTTATAACTTATAAAAGTTTTTATGGTAATAGGAAAATGGGAAGGCAAAAAGTACCTCAGGCCCACTAACATCATATTGTGTTCTTGCTCACAAGCATCCTAATCACTATCTCCTTACTCTCAAAAGTAATCAATATCTTAATTTTTATTATAATCTCTCATAACATTTATTTATTTACTTATCTATTTATTTATTTATCTATTTATTTATTCATTCATTTATTTGAGTTGGGGGGTGGAGATAGAAAGGAAGAGGGAAAGAGACAGGCAGAGGGAGCATCTGAAGCAGATTCCATGCCCCCAGCACAGATCCTGGCATGGGGCTTGATCTCATGACCCTGAAGTCATGATCTGATCTGAAATCTAGAGTTGGTTACTCAACTGACTGAGCCACCCAGATGCCCCTCATTGTATTTCTTTATATCTTTATTACCCCAGTATGCATTCCCTAAATACTAGTTTTATCTGGCATGTAAAAATCTTTTATAAATTTAATTTCTTTACTTGATAAAGAAAGATTCTTTCATCTCTTATCTTATCCAACAGTTGATTTGTTGAAAAATTGAGTCCTGTGACCTATAGTTTTCCACTTTCTGGCTCTTGTTCATTGCATACTCAAGGGTCAGTTTAGTTTTCTTCTGTGTTCTATATTTTCTGTAAATGGTCAGCTGGATCCAGAGGTTTGATCCTAATTTGATTTTAATCCCTTTGGCAATATTATGTAAGTGGTGTGGTGTTCCTTCAGGAGGCACCTCATGTCAGGTTGTCTTTCCTTTTGTGCTGTTGGAAGCCCACTAGTTCTCAATTATACCAATTCTTATGTTAATGTTTCTCTGCTTATTTTGATTTTCTGAAGCTGACTATCCATTGATTCCTCAGGAGGGATTCATGAGCACACTGTTCTCTGAGTTCCTAATATTGTTAACGTTTTATCTGGGCCATTTATACTTGAAAATCATTTTTTTAACATAAAATTTTTAGTTCACATTTTCTTTCCTTAAGTGTTGTGATGGTTAATTTTTGTGTCAATTTGACTGGGCCATGATGCCTAGATATATTATCAAGCATTATTCTGGATGTTTCTGTATGGGTGTTTTTGATTTAGATTAACATTTATATCAGTGGAATTTGAGTGAAGCAGATTGCTCTCCATAATGTAGATGGACCTCACCCAATTAGTTGAAGACCTAAATAAAACAAAAGACCTACGTTTTCCAAACAAGAGGGAATTCTGCAGCACTCGAATTGCAATGTTGGCTCTTCTCTAGTCTCTAGCTTGCTGGTCTACCCTGCAGAGTTTAGACTTGCCAGCCTCCATAGTTGCATGAACCAATTCCTTAAAATAAGCTTTCTCTCTCTCTACACTTCTAGAGAACTCTGGCTAATACAAGTGTCTTAAATATATTACTCAGACTTATTTTTGTAATGAAGCTTGATGTTAAAATGTCTGAAAATCTTATTTTCTCTCCCCTGGGTGTCATTTTCTCCTTTTGCCAGATCCCTAAAGGAATTTCTTTTAAGCTTAGGGCTCAAGTTTGTACATGTTCTGATAGATTTATACCTAAGTATTTAATTTTTTTTGGAACTATTGTAAATGTTACTCATTTTTAATTTCATTTTCCAATTGTAAATTGCTGATATATAGAAATATGATTAATTTTTGTTTGTTGACCTTGTATGCCATAATCCTACAAAACATTTTAGTTGAGGGGGTTTATTAAACTAAACTTTTTAGGGTTTTTTTTTTTTTTGCATATTCTACATAGACAATCATAGTATTTGTGAATAAAGACAGTTTTATTTCTACTTTTTAAATCTATATGACTTTTATTTATTTTTCCTTTTATTCACTAACTAAAACTCTATATGTTGAGTAGGAATGATGAGATTGGACATTGTTGCCTTGCTCCCAATCTTAAGGGAAAACAGTCTTTCAACATTAAATATGATGTTTAGTGTAGTTTTTGTGTTTTTGTTTTGTTCTTTTTTTTTGGCAGATATCCCTTTTCAGATTGAGGATCAGGTTTTTTCTATATCCTCGTTTGCTGCAATTTTTATCAGAAATGGATGTTGAGATTTGTCAAATGCTTTTTCTGCATTAATTGATATGATCATACATTTTTGTTTAGAGTATTAATATGGTGAATTAGAATGATTGATTTTCAAATATTGAACCACCTGTGCATCCCTTTGATAAACTCCAAATAGTTTTGGTGTATGATTTTTTTAATATTGCAGGGTTAAATTATTAATATTTTGATAACTTTTGAATTAATGAGGAATCTTGTTCTGTGGTTTTCTTTTGTACTTTGCTTAGTTTTGGTATCAAGGGTTTTAATTTACATTTATTTTATTAGAAAATATAGCATAGTAATCATGGCTGTTACACATTAAAAAATCTATATTTTCCATTGTCTAATAGAGTAAGTCTATAATAACTTTGATAGTATTCTATCTCACACCAGATTTTTTTAATGTAGGGCAGCCCGGGTGGCTCAGTGGTTTAGTGCCGCCTTCAGCCCGGGGTGTGATCCTGGAGACCGAGGATCGAGTCCCGCGTCGGGCTCCCTGCATGGAGCCTGCTTCTCCCTCTGCCTGTGTCTCTGCCTCTCTCTCTCTGTGTCTGCCATGAATAAATAAATAAAATCTTTATTTAAAAAAAATTTTTTTTAAATGTATATGTCTTACTCTGTAAACTTTTCTATTCCTGTCACTTGTACCCTTTCTGCTACTTCAGTTTCCAGGTCTATGATGTCCTGATATCCTGCTTGCAGTTCCCCAAGCATGCCAGACTGTGACAGTCTCAGTTTTTTCACTAACTGTTCTTGTAACACCAGGAATATCCTATTTCAAGTCTATATGCTTAATAACCTCTATTTTTGGGGGGCTGAGTTTTCTTAAAACTCCAAATGTTGTTGACTATTTCTCCCTCCTGCCTCTATTCTACTCAGCATCAATGCCTATTGTAGCACTTATTTATTTACAACCTCCCCTCCAACCCCCCCCCCCTACCCTGCATTGCACTGGTTAGTGAGTACTTTGAGGGCAGGGATTTGTCTTTAATTTCCAAGTACTTAACAAAGTCTGGTGCACCAGTGGTGTCCACTGCTTATTTGTTGATTGGATAAGTGAATAAATGTCTTATAGCTTCCAGTGTCCTCCAAGCTTATTGAGAGAATATATATTATGCTTTTATATTCCTCGATTACTGAGAAACTTTGCAAATTTTATATATATATATATATATATATATATATATATATTTGTTACTAACAGTTTTAATCTTTGACAGTTCCAATATTACATTATGGTCTCTATCATGAACATTTTCAACATATGTATATCTAATATATACTTATGAGTGTAAGTTTAAGAGAGTAAATGTAATTTATGATGATTTTAGAACTCTGGTTTCTAGACTGAGATCCTTGAACTCTAATGGGTTCAAATATAATAATGGGCATCAGTGAATTATTTTCTCTATTTTAAAAAATGTAATAGAACTATATATTAACATCTATGAGGTTGCCCAAATTAACTGAAATATTAAATTCTTTGCTTTTGACCATAATTTTGTTATAGAGTAAATCAGAAACTTAGAATAACAGCTATGATCACTGACTAAATAAATAATATTTAATAATTACAACTTGGAACACAGAAGTTTTCAAAACATAATATGCATAGGAGAGCTTTATAAGAGGTTATTATCAGTGGAAAAATTATTTTTATGGAGAGATTTTTGTTATATATTATATTCCTATGATTATTTTTTCTTCTTTGTTTTGGAAGCTTTGTATTGGGAAATGTTTTAATAATTGAGTATTATGCTTAATTGGATTTTCAGTGAATTGCTTGAGATCATATGCTTAAATTGCCCACAAGGATAGACTAAGTTTACTAATTAAATTTCTTGAAAATATACAAACTTTTTCTGTAACTTTATGGTGAGTTGATATGTTTTCTGTGAATTGCTTTGACTTTTTGGTGAGTTCTAATGCATGCATTTCATCCTTCAGCAGCTCAAATTACAAAAATGAATCAATGGTATTTCTTCCCAAGAAACCTCTGCCTTGTCTCTGAAAAAAGACCAAAGGGATGTATATTCTGGTTGTTTATCAGAATCTCATTTAAATTAGTACTCTAGTTTTGTTTTAGACTGATCTGAAAAAAGTCATTTGTGCCGTTTTACGTAAATATAAATTAGCAAATAATTTTAATAATGATCATTTTGATACAGATAACTGGAGTATGCAGACTATAAGCAACTAGAAATTTTGAAACTATAAGCTTTTAAAAAAGTAATTATTTTTATGCGAAAGATTTGTGAATTAAAAAAAAAAAACAAGCAATCTCTGCCAAAGAAAGCCAGTTTCTTTCCCTGAACATTTCATTGACTGTGCTGTCACAAAGGGTCATCATGAATGGTGCATCCTAGAAGTTGAACATTGCACAACTGCAAAATTGTATTTGACAACCCCACTCTATTCTCTTTGGACCTCTAGTCTCCTGAAGACTTCTTGCCCATTTTCTGGGTTATTTTTAATTGCTTTGATTTTATTTGTGAAAACTCTGAATTTTTAAACTTTGCAATTGTTTATAATTTCAATAAATAAAATCCTTCTTTATATAAACATGTTGAGCACATATAAAGGAAGGGCTCTCTTTCTTTAGGAAATACTCTCTCACATCTGCCTTCAAGGTTACAGCCATTGCTGCCATATACTAGTACAATGTAATTTTACCCTCTAACTCAAGTG